ATAAGTTTAACGGCACTTGCATAGTAATTTATTCTGCGATAATTACGATTTTTAAGTAATTTTTTATGCACAAATTTTAAGGCACTCGTTAGCTCCCAAACCTCTTGTTATATTGCATAGAGTTTCCTCCAGACCTTATCACACTGCGACGACGCCAAGGAATACATTTTTAGTACAAGTACATATCTATTATACAACTTATAGAACACAATTTCTTGGATTTAACTCCAATTATTGCTGCATCGACACCCACTAACACGTCGGCATGAGAACTGCGCGCACAACGGCAGCAACTTTACTGTTAAAGAAATCAGCAGCACTACGGGAATTACTTTAATTTTCGAAAATAGACAATAATCGATACTCAACTGTGTCTATTTCAGTTCGATTTGTTTATGTTTAGCACAGCTGTTGCTGCGGTTTGGCATTCCACATCGCTCAAGTTCAAACAATTACCTTATTTCCGGTTTTCTAAAGATCGCTGAGACGCGCTTAACGCATAGCTATAGTCTATCCGAAACGCCATCGAAACCTAACGTTACTTGTAACTCATAAATGCTGGAAGTTGCAATTGTGCATTAAATTCATTAAAATGACACAAACGCATTTCGTATTGCCGCTTTTGATGCCCGAAAGGCAGTTGGTGCGCACCTTTCCAGCGCCCTACAACGAGGCCRTTTCACCCTTTGCCGAGGTGAAGGATTTTTCCAAAGCCGTGCGCTTCGAGTCGCAATGGTAACCAAAACTGTAGTTGCGATCACGCAAAGTCATGGGCAGGTAGGTGAGCTGTGCTTTTGCGAATTTCAATATTTTGGGAAAAGATCTTACGCTAAAAATGTAAGTACAATACGATTATTACTCCATTATCTAATTTTTATTATTATACTTGCCTACAGTTTTGTCCCTTATAAGCATGTATAATTTTGTTTTACGATTTTTTCAATATTCGCGGGTGGGACACTCCCCTAAAATACTTCCATTACAGTTATTATAGTTATTTTTGATATGTCCAAACCGGAAACGCTGAATTCAGCAACTAAATAGTTGGTAAACACACAAAATTACAAAAAAAAAGCTAGTAAACCAATTTACAATAATTGTTTTCCAAAAATCTTAATTCTCAACATTCCCAATTTTTTATATGAAGCTATTTGTTTTCATAAGCTGCTATGCAAATATTACTTTGGCAACCCTTGTCGTGCTCAGCTGTGAAATTTGGTGCTCTTACAAATTTGTTTCATTTATGTTTGAAACTTTATTGTGAAAATATCTGGATTAAGTGATCTGCTAAGAGAAGTATCACTGTTATAATATATTGTACTGTTAAAGCAATTGAAATTTACTTTAATTATGTATTGGCTAATTTTAATTTATTTCGATGAGTCATTTTCAATATGTTTTTGTTGCCATATTTTTTTTTTTTAAATATTGCAATTGGTAGTGTTAATTTATATTGCTTACTTAAATCATATCTTATTTTTATGTAAATGTAAATGATAAGAAGAGAATCCAAAACCTCTTATGTTTTAACGAATTCTTAGATGAAATGCTGGAGTACCCAAATTAATTTCAATTTATACAAGTTTGGTAAGCTCTTAGATCTGATTTACATTGATAATGCTTCAATATTCTCTGGTTCTGCCAGAGGACTCTTATCAATTTGCCGACGTTTATACTCATTTTAATTTGAAATATAATTTATGGATACACTTGTTTTTATTATAGCCCTGACAGACGAGCAAAATTAATGCGCCTTAAGCAACGCTAATGCGCATTGAAATTTTATGGTGACAGACGGCAGGCTTGTGCATTTAGACAGCTGATAGTGAAATTTGTTTATTTATTTAAAAAAAAAAAAGTGAAATAAAAATGAATAAGATAAATTATTAATAGAAATTTTAGTATTTCGGAAAGTCAATATAAATTTAATGAAAAAATTCGTTTATTATTAACCACGTTAAAAGATAATAGAGTGAAATTAAAAGCAATAATTGATTGTAATACGGAAAAAGTGTGCGAAACAGTTAAGAATATTGGAAAAATGGATAGCAAACTATGCGTTGTTTAATGTCTGTCATCTAAAAATTTTGAAATTTGTTTTTGTTAATATACTTGCACATTATTTAATTAGCAATATAAAAACTGTTTACATCTGATGCTGTAAACACAAAGAAGGTGGCAGATTTTAAGTGACATCTGTCAAACAATAGCAAAAACTCACCATTTTTGGGCAGTGTTGCCTGCTCAAATTTGGTAAATTCGGCTAAATGCCAGAAATTTTTGTGCATTACTAACTTGCATTAACATGGGTCAAATGCGCAAGTTAATTTAAACAAAGCTCGCTGATGCAACTTAGCGTTGTCGTCTGTCAGGGCTACTAGAACTAAGATTGCTAAATAAAGAAAGAAGAATTATAGCGAAAAAGAAAATTTAAAAAAAATTGCTCATATTTTATTATTATATATGGCAGCGCTCCATTTCCTCAACGGTACCTTCAAATGGCGGCACCAACGAAATCGGAATTCTACCAGCCTAATGCTAATATTTTTGAAAACCCAATGCATTTATGTACATATGTATGTAATCTTCTTTGCAGAACAACAATAACAAACAGACAGCAGAGCAACGAACGCCAAGGAAGAAGTTTGTGTTTTTTTTTTTCATAATTTCTAAGTATTTATAGATAAAAAAATATGATAAAAACTGAAAATATTATATTAAACGATGTAAATAACTTATACTTACTTACTTCTTTAAAAGGCATCAGGGATAATTTGGTATTCGCTAGGCCGCAATTCATAGTTAATAAACTCACAACACACATCAAAAGTTTCCATTTAAATTTGGCAAATACAAATTTGTATATACATATACATCCATAATACTATATATTCATGTGGAACAGAGAAAAGCTAACCTGTTGTACCAACTTTAGCTCCAAACAATATTAAGCTAAATGCTTCACTTAGAGTGGTGCAACTATTTATTCATTTCCCATTTATACGTCCACTCATTCACTAGACAACATTATAATTTTCTTAAATTCACTGGTTTTTAAAAATTAGTGCACAAAGTGTAATTTCGACGGGCAATTTCCTGTTTTTAGATTTTACAACTATCGCAGCGTTGCATTTCCGAACTTCGAAGACAGCTGCCAGCTTTGTCGAAACGGGTTGCACTCATTAATTTGTTAATGAATAATTCATTATCCATATAAAAAACAAAACAAATTTTTCTATTTTATCTGAATCATATAAGAAAGCAATAAACAATAATAATGCTGTTCCTTCAATTTTTTAGTTTTCATACAAAAAAGAATAAATAAAATTTTTAGTTTTCATACAAAAAATATTAAACAAAAAATGTTATTAAACTTGCTGCTTACTTCCTGCAAAGAACTTTTTCGACCGCAGTGTTTGCGTTCAATGAAAGCACTTAGAGCTTTCAGAACATGTCCCAAAATTTGACATCCAGTGACATTCGACATCGAAATTCGAAAATGGGAACTTCCGCCGTTTTGACAAAGACAGAAGATTTTCCTTTCCATTCCTTTTTTTCGTAGTAATGGCACCCAAAAAGCCTGCCGAGAAATCCGGTAAGGAATTTTTAACATTTTAATGCAATTTATGCACCAAATGTGTTTCAAAATGAGTCTTAAACAACGGTGTATTGATTAAAAATGAATTTAAGCATATTTTCTTCAAAAATGTGTACAAATTTGTATAAAAATGTTGAGTGTGTTTTGGCCACGCGGTCCAAGCTGCTGCATCGGCTAAATGTGTTTAATCAAAAACTTTAACAACAGGTTTACTGCATTAGTGTTTAAAAACGAAAGTAATGTCATGTGCTATAATTGAATTTTGTGTGTGTAATTTTTCCACAATTGCTCTCCAATTAGAAATTAATTTTTTGTTTATCAATGGGTTTAAGACATAACCTCATTTTCGGATATGTATTGACAATGTTCTATTTACCATGTTGCTTAATTGTATACTAATGGTTTTTTAGCTAAACCAGGCGATAAGAAGCCTGAAAAGAAGGCTTCGGCCACTTCAGCCGCCTCTGGTACCAGCGCTAAACCTGCTGCAGCTAAGAAGGCCGCCCCCGCCAAGAAACCCGCTACCGCTGCTGGTGGTGTAAAGAAGCCAGTCGCTAAGAAGCCTGCCGCTGCCAAAAAGGTTGCCACCAAGACTAAGCTAAAGGCTAAGGATGCCAAGAAGGCTGCCGCTGGCAAGAAGCCACAATCTTTGTTGGCTAAATTGTCCGCAAAGGCCCGTGCCGCCGCTAAGGGCAAGAAAGTCGCTCTTAAACCAGGCGCAAAATTGCAAAAGGGTACCGCTAAGGCTAAAGCTGTTGCTTTGTTAAAAGCAAAGAAGGTCCAAACTAAGGTAAAAACTTTTTGAAACATATTCGAATTATTTACAACTAATATAAACGTATAAATATTTACAGATTGTCAAGGGTGCTTTTGGTACACGCACACGCAAGGTACGCACCAGCGTACACTTCCGTCGTCCAAAGACTTTGGTGTTGCCCCGCCGTCCTAAATACCCAAGGAAGTCGGTGCCAACCAGAAATCGGTATGTAAAATATCAAAGCATCCAAATTTACCACAAATTTCTAATTTGAAATGTTATTATTTGAACAGCATGGATGCTTACAATATCATCAAATACCCATTGACCACTGAAGCCGCCATGAAGAAGATTGAAGACAACAACACGTTGGTGTTCTTGACTCACTTGCGTGCGAATAAGAATCACGTACGTGCCGCTGTACGTAAATTGTATGACATTAAGGTAGCTAAGGTCAACATCTTGGTGAGACCAGATGGTCAGAAGAAGGCTTACGTGCGATTGGCCCGCGATTATGATGCGCTAGATATTGCCAACAAGATCGGCATCATATAAACGTTGCGTTATTCGTTTCTTTTATATATAGAAATTTTCAGAAAAAACAGACATTTAAAAAACGGATAAAACCTAATTTTATCTAAAATAAAAATCAAAAAAAAAATATATATATTTCCTTCTATTAACTTAAATTTTTGAATTACGAAGGACAAAAATTAAAAGACGGTACTTGACCGACTAGCATAGCTTCTTGGTAGGACGGAAGGTCTTTCTTCTTTTTTTTTTTTTTTTCAGATACCAAGATTCAAGTTGGTGGTTTTCGTGCTGGATTGACTAATCATATAAAGATAAGTGAAAATTACAACTGAATTTTATAATATATTATATATTTGTGATGATTTCTTTGAAGGAATCTCATTGAATAACTTCGTTATTATGAAATTAATATATTTTAACTGATTACATTTTTTATTAAACTATGCAAATGCTTATTTATTATAGATAATTTCAAATTGGAAATTGGAGAAGGATCATTTCATTAAAGGTAATAATAATACATTAAATATGTTAATATTTTTTTAGTGATGATATATATAGAAGGAATCTCTTTGAATTTCGTCATGCTTTATTATGAAAACAATTTTAATTAACTGAATATATTTCAATAATTGAAACAATCCTAATTTAGACGCATTAAAATTAATGTTCGTAATTTTATCATTACAGATCGCAATAAAATGTTGAAGAAAGGCTCACATAATGAGAGGTGAGTTATAAAAAAAAAAATATGTTGATATAAACTGTGATGACATATAAGAAGGAATCTCATTGAATTCCGTGTAACGTTATAATGAAATTAAATTAAATAACTGAGATAACTTGACTAAATAATATTCTATTGCTCATAAGACACGCTAACGAAAGCTTTTCTATCTTTCAGGTGTATCCAAAGGAATTATGCACATTGCGAGAAGACTGCTCATTATTGTTTTTTACTGTAAAGCATATATTTATAAAAACAAATTTTGAATAAAGTATGAAATATCATAAAACCGTTAGTGTTGCGATAAAATTTTTACATTGGTTGATTGGGAAGGAAATAAAGAAATTCTACATGGAAACTGACAAGGACATTTAGTGAATGTTGCTAAGGTGACAGTTTTGGACCGGACACAAATCAGGATCCGCTTCTTTTTCCAAAATCATACTATTGTGGAAACAACGAAATTAATATTTAGTTGTATGTATATATATACCGTATGATACAAGCAGAGAACGTCTATGATAGACGTCTATGATACAAGTTTCTGTTAACTACAATTACAACACATCGAAGAATCTGAAGTATAAAAAAGGAAAACATCGAACAGAGCTCGATATGCTTATTGGAAAAATATAAAATATTACCATAATTATAAAGAAAAGTATTAGGAAAATTAAAACTTGCTTAAAGAAAATTTAATAATCAATGAGTTTTATTTCTATTACACAATTTTCCTAACGCTTTTTCCATGCTTGGCCGCACTGTTCAATTAATGTCATGGCGGCTATATACTTGGCTGTCAAATAGAAAAACTTATTAAACGCGATTATCGCCGAATTGCAAAACTTATCTGAATTTTTGCAACTAAAAATTAAAATACAACCTTTGTGGCTTTGCTTATATTAAAGAGTAATAACTTCGACTATTTGCATCCAAAGGGTTATATAGAATAAATATTTGACTATGCAGTGATTTACCAGTTCAATCGATTGTTTCAGCCAACCACACCTCCCGACCGTGTAACTTATATATGGTAGGGTAGGTTGGTGTTATTTCAGAACAAGCAAATCAAAGTTTTTTGCTGTATCGACTTTAAACTAAATAAACATACTTCATTGAATTTGCATCAACTGTTTACCAAAAAACAGAAATGTACAACGGAATTGGTTTAACAACGCCACGCGGCTCCGGCACAAATGGACATGTACAACGTAATTGGGCATTTGTGAGGCCCGGCAAAAAAGACAATTCGAACTATCGTTCTGAAGAAGATATTAAAAAGCTAGATGCCACTTTAAATCGTCCGCCAAACAAGGACATTTTGGATCATGATCGTAAACGTAAAATTGAAGTAAAATGCATAGAGTTTGAGGAAATATTAGAAAAACAAGGGTGAGTTATAAATAAAAGTGCATATATAATATATATATTTATAAATCTAAAACAGTAACACGTTTTGTTATTGTACATCAGTAAGTTACACCTAATAAGACGTGGCTTTTAAATACAAAATCATGCCAACAGGAGCACTTTACATTTATTAAATATTACTTCATGCTCTCCACCCAGACTAACCCATTGAGTAGTTATTGTATGGTGACATGTTTCGCTACTGTTCCGACTACATTTATTATTTTTAGTCTAATGGGGGTGGCAAGTGAACAATAATGATGTTTTTCGTCATACATAACTGTCACGCTTGCTGAGCGAACAAGGTGAAAACCTCTAGTTTGTGCACTCAATCCGCTTAGAAGTATTAAACCCATACAAATCAAGAAATTGGAATTGAGTTGAAATAAAAATTTATTAAATTAGAAAATAAAAACTCAAGTGAATGTGAAAAGTTAGTATTTCTAAATACACAAAAAATAATTTACAAATTGGAAACGTTTTCAATAGCTGACAAAATTGAGAAAGGACACTCGTGAAATTTATCGATCTTTCACAAATATCTATTTGTAGCTTTTAGCTATTATTTTATTTTAGTTAAATATTTATTATATATTAGTTAATAAAACTATAAATGTTTTTTTAATTTTTCTACAAAAAATATTTTTTTATAGGCGCACACCGGAGGAAATAAAAACAAAAGTTGATTCTTATCGCCAAAAATTAATGGGACTAGGTAAAAGTGATTTACCAAAGGATGAATTCGGAAGAATAGCGTAAGTAAATTATTTTATAATAAAAATTTAGAATGTTCATTTTATGTAAATATTGGTGAAATCTTTAAATCAATTATAAGTGGAATGTATAAATATGCTGAGCAAAAAAAAAAAAAGTGAAGCAAAGCCAGTCTCAAATATTACGTTACCAAAAAAATTGCTAATGTTAGCTATAGTTAGCAAAGAACATAAAAGTTGTACTCCGTGTATTACATAATTCTGAAATGCGTTATTCATAGAACTTGTATCACAAATAAATTACAACCCCTACAGCTTCTGCCTTAGAAATTTAAAGATGAAGCAAATTTATGGAGAGATTTGCTCTCAATTCCATATCATTCGTGTATTTACCCACCACCCACCATCACCACACTGAATGGGAGCTGCAATTTTTCAAGACAAGTCATCTACACAGATTGCATGAAAGTTCAGTTAAATCAAGTCTTCCGAATGCGATACAACTCAAACTTCAGGCAAATACTCTTAAGCCTTTTTAAAGTACTGTATAAAAATAACATTCAAAAGTTAAAATAAAATAAAATTAATATAATTAAACGAATACTAGCCGAATGACGTTTAATATAATAATATTAAGAATTCCGGTTAATATACAAAATACTTAAATCAAAACAACGATCGGCGTACAGTTTTCGAATTTTGAGAAAAATCAATAATCAACGCAATAGAATGTGCAATTCACGCATAAAATTTTACCTTAACATAAATAACATAAAATAAGTAATTGTACTGGCGGCGGCGGTGGCGAAACTTCAAAAAAAAAATATTTGTATTCAAAATTTTCTTAAAAAACTTTACTCACTGCTTCTTTATACAAAAATCTGTCGGCAACCCCCAACTCAACTTAAAGCGACTTGCTTGCTCAAGTGGGCCAAGAACTACGATAAACTCATAGCAATGTATGCTTTTGGAAGTATGTGCTGGTGCTGCGTTGTAGGAAATAAATGTGGTTCTTATTCTGCTAAGTGGATTAGCGGATTAACATGAGTTAGAATGAAGTCAAATGTGGTTTGAAAGTGGAGAATTTAATGAAATCGAAAGAAACAATTTCAAAATGCGTTAAACTTCTTAGCAAAGCAACAAATCACTCAACTAGAGTCTTCCATTTAGTATTTAAGTTAATTAGTTATAAAACAAGTGTCAACGGAGTTGGAATGTTGAAAGGATAAGAAGTAAATTTTATAATATTGAAGGAATGTTGAAATGTAAATGGTGCAATATTAAATCGAATGTAAATAAATAATGTAAAAGTGCTTTGCTTTTTAATAGCTATATTTTAAATATTTATAAAAAATCAATGCATAAGTCTTAAAATAAATTCAGAAGTAAATGCATAATCGATTGTCTTCCCAATAATTAATAACTTATAAACTATATAAGAGTGTTTCTTAAGATAAATTTACAGAAAGAAAAAATCCAACGTCTTCCTTGACAATAATCAACTATCAATATTAAAAAAAAAATTATATACAATTATGGAACGTAAAAATATAGACACATTTTTAAATATAATAAAAATACTTGGTCTTCCTGCACGTTTCTATGCATATTGAGAATAAAAGTAGATAAAACAAGTATTTATATTTCAAAAT